TTTTACAAAGGATTTTACATGCAAATAGAAATATCCATGTCAAATTTGGCAAGTTTTTTGATGAATTTAAAATTTGACCAAAAAATATGATCGTATCCCTAGAGCTCGAGGCCAAAACTTTAAAAAAAATAATTTAAACATTAATCGCAAGTATTTTTGACATTAAACTATTACAAAGAATTTTACATGAAAATATAATTTCCATCTGAAATTTGGGCAGTTTTTTGATGACTTTAAAATTTAGCCAAAAAAATGTGATGGTACTCCTAGAGCACGAGGTCAAAACTAAAAGAATTATAATTTAGGCATTATTGACACGTCTTTTTGACATGAAAATTTTACAAAGGATTTTACATGCAAATAGAAATATCAATGTCAAATTTGGAAATTTTTTGATGAATTTGAAATTTGGCCTAAAAATGTGGTGGTACCCCTAGAGCTTGAGACCAAAAATAAAAAAATTATAATTTAGACATTATTGAAAAGTAGTTTTGACATCAAACTTATACAAAGGAGTTTACATGCAAATAGAAACATCCATGTCAAATTTGGCAACTTTTTTGATGAATTTAAAATTTGGCCAAAAAAAGTGATAGTACCTTTAGAGTTTGAGGCCAAAACTAAAATAATTATAATTTAGACATTATTGAGTAAGAGAATACTCATTTTTAATTTGAGTAACAGAACACTTTTTTGAATAACTAAATACTTATTTTTGAATATAAATAGATCAATGAATGAAAGGATTTTAATATTATTAATCCCTCCCAACTTCTCTCCCACCAAACACCAACTTAGATTTATATGGTTACAAACAACAAATCCGATGTTATCATTAATTAATACCCGCAGTGATTGCGTTCTTGTCACCTTTAAAAAAGAAAAAGTGAGAAAGAAAAAGAAAAAGAAAAAAAGAGAGACAAACTTGGTGTTTGTTGTGGTTAGTATTTTGAATTAAACAAACAAAAAGGGTATTCATTTTAAATTTTCCAAAAGTTGGGTGGGTATCAATCGTCCAAAGAGTCCACAAGTCTCTTTCTCTCTCTGGATCATATCCTTTCTCTCACTAGCTTCACCATCTTCTTCCATGCCGGCCCGTACTCTCTTTCTTCAATTAGAGAGAGAGAGAGAGAAGAGAGAGAAACAGATCAAACCAACGCAGACCCATTCTTTAACCACACTCCCACCTAAAAATCTACAGCGTGAGTGATTGAAGAGAAGACGCAAACAGGCGACGCAGTGATGGAAGTAGATGAGTTATTGAAAATGCGTGAAAACCTTATTGAGGTTTATGCCCAAAGAACAGTCTCAAGCCTTTATTATTGGGACTCATAACAACATTTATTAATCCTAAAAGTTTTATGTTTTATCTCCGAAGCAAGTGTTTAAAAAAATGCTCGGAGTTTCTAAAAGTAGCTCTCGGCGGGCATATTTCTTGGTTCAAAGGATGAAAGAAAACGTTTTTTTGGGGTAATACTTTACAGGTTAAAGATTTTGTGCACGTCTTTAAATGCAAATAGAAATATCCATGTCAAATTTGGCAAGATTTTTGATGAATTTAAAATTTGTCCAAAAAATGTGATCGTACCCCCTAAAGCTTAAAGCCAAAACTTAAAAAAATAATTTAGAAATTAATTACAAGTGTTTTTGAAATGAAACTATTAAAAAGGATTTTACATGAAAATATAAATATTCATCTCAAATTTGGGCAATTTTTTAATTAATTTAAAATTTTGCCAAAAATGTGATGATACCCTTAGACCACGATGCCAAAACTAACAAAAATTATAATTGAGAAATTATTGACAGGTCTTTTTAACATGAAACTTTTACAAAATATTTTACATACAAATAGAAATAGCCATGTCAAATTTGGCATTTTTTTGATGAATTTAAATTTTGGTCAAAATGTGATGGTACCTCTAGAAATTGTAGGACCTCAGGCGCTACCAACTCTTCTAAAACCAATTGGTGTTAGAAGAGGCGCATACCCTAGCCTTATAGTGCATTCAACACACAAGCGCCCACGACATTCGACTGTGACTTGGCCCACATAGCCTCCGCCACGGGACAATTGCTGCACACATGGCCAACAATCTCCCCCTCAGCAATTGCTCCCGCTGGGAATCGAACTCGTGACCTTGGCTCTGATACCACTTGTAGGACCTCAGGCGCTACCAACTCTTCTAAAACCAATTGGTGTTAGAAGAGGCGC